TACGATATGACAAAGTTTTTTTTTTTTTTTGAGTTTTTTTGGTTAAGTTAGTTGTCAAGCAGTGTGTTCTAACATGAGATTATCTCATTTCATTGTTGAACATTGTACTGATAGCTGTGGTCTCTGTAGTTGGAATTATTGCATGCTGCATTCAAAATACAGCGCTTTGGTTGCTCTTAGCTCTTCTGATGATGATAGTTCTAGATTATGCAAACAATGGTTTCTTCGTTTCATGATGCAAATGCTGACATCAAGGAGAGCTAATGGGATTGTTGCTAGACAACATAAAAGTAGACCTTATTCAGAGTTCTTGTTTCCCTCTTATTAAAACACAACAGGGCTTTGTAAGACTTCACTTTCTGAGATAAAGAGGCACTGGATAATTTAGAGCTTTTTGTTTATTGTGTTTGAAATTAAATTGTCACTGTTTCACTTTAATCCAAAGAATGAAATTGCAAAGAATAGAGCTTTGAATTATCAGTGGAAACCAGTAAAGTCTATCTCAATCAAATCCACACAATTAACAACTAAATTAGTCTAACACTTTGAGATGGTATTATGTTAAAATTCAGAATTTGAATACCGTCATTCAGTGCTCTCTGAGTTCCATAACGTTTTCCCTAAACTATTTCGTATTTTGATTTATGATTTTCAGAATTTTTTTCAATTATTTACTGTTCTCATGCTCTTATTTTAAATAAATTTTACAATGTTAGGGAATCATTTCACTTGAGTTAACTATGAGGCTCCATTTAAAAACATTTAAAAGAAGGACACATCAGGCTGGGCGCAGTGGCTCACGCCTGTAATCCCAGAACTTTGGGAGGCCGAGGTGGGTGGATCACAAGGTCAGGAGATCGAGACCACAGTGAAACCCTGTCTCTATTAAAAATACAAAAAAAATTAGCCGGGCGTGGTGGCGGGTGCCTGTAGTCCCAGCTAGTCGGGAGGCTGAGGCAGGAGAATGGTGTGAACTCGGGAGGCGGAGGTTGCAGTGAGCTGAGATCGCGCCACTGCACTCCAGCCTGGGCGACAGAGCGAGACTCTGTCTCAAAAAAAAAAAAAAAAAAAAAGAAGGACACATCAAGATAGCAGGTTAACTACTAGTAACAGACAATGTTGATCACAGTTGTAGCCAAAGGAAAGGGAGAATGGAAGCAGTGCATATGTTCTCTCTCAATATTGCAGCAGTGTAAACTATAATGGTGGGAGAGTGCCCATGGTTGAGAACTCCCAGAGGGTTGCAGTACCTCCCCATTGCCAAGATACCACATAAAGAAGGTGCCAGGCATGTCACTGGTGTATGCATATTGCATCTTTTTTTAAAATCAGTTATTTGAGTGTTATTCTCCACTTGGGAATATTTCTTTGCTTTCTGACAGAAAACAATAGAAAAACCAATAATTTCTTCATAAAAAAGCGTAACTTTACAGCCAAATATCCCGCATCTATAGTCCATAAAGTGGAAGGTTTTTTTTAGATACGAATTAACATAGGATTTAATAGCAATATGCCTCAAATTATAGTGATTATATGATTAGTTCTAGAACCCTTTAGGTAAACTTTTAAAATATTCCTTAAAATTTTGTATGGACTTTTGAAATGGATTCTTTAGTATAGTCTTTTTTTTAGTGTTGTCCAATGGTTCTAGATTTTACAAGGGTATTCATTTGTGTGTTAATTATATTAATGATGCCATAATCAAGTTTCAAACCAATATAACTGAAAAATATCTTCTCCGAGAATTTGAAATCATCTCGAAGTTTTACCTCCAGTGTCCTTGGCAGTTCTCTATGGGACAGACATTCACAGGCCACTCATTAAAGAAGAAAGGAAAGCATAGGATTAGGTGAAACAGTGAGTGCCTCTACAAGTCTCTAAATATCAAAGCCTTGTTTGAATGCTGATCAAGAATAAGGTCTTTTGCATGCTGCTTCTGGGTAGGGAGGTTCCTATCTCATGGGCTCGCCAGGGAGATCTTTCATCAGAGATATTGTCAGCTGCAACTCTGACAGCAGTTAACATCGCTTTAGCTCTTGTCACTATTTCATTTTGTCAGCTGGCTCACTCTGCTCTGTCCCTCACACTAGAAATAATGTACTTACCAATGCGAACTGTTTCTTTCTCTATTTTGTTCTCACTCAGGAGCCCCAAACTACTGTAATCCACAACCCTGATGGAAACAAGGTATTCAGAAAGAATCAACATCATCTTGCTTTAACAAGACTATACATCTCATCAAATATTCAAAAAAATTAATTCATTATCTAAAAATAGGAAAGAAAATTCTAACCATTTTCTACCACACTTCCTTTTGGGCCTAATTTGTCTATAACTGTGGACATACTTCTTGCAAATAAAAATGAATGATATCTCGAAAGAGAAACTAATGTTCCCATGAGTCAATAAAAGTCAGGCTAAACGTGAATGAAGTCTTTATGTCAAGATGACTGTGTGTCTTAAGCAATTCCATCTGGTCACTTTTTTTCCCCAAGACTTTGTGCTTTGTACTGTAAATATATTGTGCATGGTATTTTAGAATTTCTGGCAATATCATTCCATTGTCTTCAAAAATATCAACTTGACTTCATAGGTTTTTTTTTTTTTTTACTTTAGTGTTACTTTTGAGTTTTATTCTATTCTGTTGTCAGAGTGGGGTTGTTTTTGTTTTTATTGTTTGTTTCTTAATTCCCTGTTGGTGGTGATGATGTTGTTGTTGTTATTGTTGTTGTTATTTGGCATGAATTTGAGGAGAATCAGGGAGTTTCACTTTTTGTGCAATATATCTGTTGTTGAGTAATACATATTCCAGTAACAGGGGTTTAACTACTTAGCCTGAAAGAAGACTAATTGTTTCCTATACATTATAAATTATTTGTATAGCATGTTAACTAAATAACAGCACTAGCATATATGTCTATAGGATGAAAGACCTTTTCTGAATTTATTCCATGTGTCCAATTTATTACTTTTCATACATTATTATATCTCTAAGGGAAGAAAACAAATACTAAACTTTTCTCAAATACTAGATATAGTCATACATCTTCTCCATGCTCTTATCAATGATGTTTAAGACTTAGAAAGCACATTTTATCTTAAGACTTAGAAAACACATTTCCTCTCTGGTTTAACATGTAGTTGATCAATATTAAAACCATTAAGTAAAAAACATGAAGTGTTATGTTCTTTAATATGAGATTTATTTTATAGTCATGACACTGCAAATGGTCTAGGTCCCAAAAAGCCTTGAAGTAGTCAGGACCATCACATATGAAAACAATTTTTTTAATAGCATTAGCCAATGAAACGCCAAGCATAACAGCTGGAATGGACACTTCAGTAGTTCTAGCTATATCATTTGTAAGAGTTACTGCATGATATTTCTTGCTTACATGAATTAGTTTAATTTTACAGTGCATGGGTTTACCTTCATTTACAGCTTAAATTTGAATACTAGGTCACATTAAGAAATGCATGAAGATTCCTTTCTTTGGTTTTGTGTGTATGGAGACTCTGGGTACACCTTTAATTAGTTTTTCCCTTGGTTTAAATATTATATATGATATTTATATAAATTTATCACTTTTTGGAATACTGAATCTCTAAAATGACACTGGCTGGTGTTTACATTATTTTCCAGAATCTGTTTTCCATTACTGAGCTATTGACTGGAAGTTTGTTTCCAGTTATTTTTGGCTCTAGCATTTAAATCATTCCAAGTAGAAAACTATGTCTTTCTTATGAATATTGCAAAATGTATTTGCTAGAAAATATTTTATTCATACATTATTAATGAACACATTTATCATACCATTTTAAGAAGTGTATCTTAATTCTGGCAGTTATAGTGTATTTTTAAGTGTGCTTAACAATCTTCCACTTAATTTGTAGTTTTACAAAGAAAGAACTTTGTCTTTTTATTATGGAAGTAGGTTTCTTATCAATAACAGCCAGTTTCTAATTTTGAAAAGAATGAAAAAAGTCTAATTGTCCTTGAAAGTAAATTATTCATTATAATTCCATTGTGCTGAGGACAAACATGAAAATTCTTCTGAAAAGTACTTTCAGCATATCTCAACTTAACCCCCTTAGCTTCTTCATCAAATGATGCAGTGAAATGTTTTCTCTCCTTATAAAGGAGTAAAGCATACAGGCCTTAACATAGTGCCTGACACAAAGAAGGTACTCTTATTGGTTAATTAATTGGGAATAAAATTTTTTTCTATTTTAAGTTTCAAATTCATTCGGCTAACATATTCAATTGCTTGTAAACACACAGAAAAAGCAAACCTTATAGGGCACTGTAACACAAAACACATCCTTACACAGTTTTTAAGGCTAACTGCATACTTCCGCTGCTTCTACAAATCACCTGGATTTATACAGCTTCGGAGATTAGGCAACCAGAGTACTCCCTGTTTGAAATGTTTGCAGCATCAGACATTTTATTTCTGTTAAAAACCACTTAATGTGTTTGTCCATTTGCATGTCAGCATATGCACATAGCCTGCTGAAGAATTTTGCATGATATGTATGTCACTAGCCAATTTTTAAAGATGAAATCAAACTATTCATTGCGTGCAACCTAAAAATGTGTTTTCTTCTCATCAGGAGTCAACTGAGAGTTCAAATACAACAATTGAGGATGAAGATGTGAAAGGTATGATTTAACCAGAAATGGAAAATCCTAACTCAGAGCTTCATATATATATATATACATGAAAAAAAAAAGTGCTTCAAATAACTAATAAGTTTAGGAAGTAGGCCTATCCTAAAACACAAAAATATTTTATTTATGAGTAAAAAAATATTTTTATAAGTACATAATTATTTCAACAATATGTTACTTTTGTCATTTTTCCCACATATTCTTTTGTATATTTTGAACTGTAGACATGTAGCATATTCTAGCACATTGCAGTAATGCCAACTAATAATGAGTTGCTAGTTATAGGAACATAACAAATTGTAAATTTGTCAGTCAAAAAGTAATATAAAATGTATTCACATTGGGTACATTCATAAAACTTATCTGGAAACCAATTTATATTCAAGGATACAGTATAAAAATAACTTTTTAACTTTTAGTCATCTCAAGTAAATATCAGTAGAATTTTCTATTTGGCTGCCTTTTTAATCCTAGTTTTTTGTGTACATTCCAAAGATATTCTTGACCTCCATTCACTTTGGTTGCCAAGGTTTTTTTAGCTACGTGTATGAGTCATTGGTAGTGTTTCTACAGACATCTTCTCAGTGCCGCTGCACACATATACTGAACACACATTTGCAGTTAGGTCACCTCCTTTGGCCACATCACTATTTTAGAAGTATTACTTTTGTATTAATTGCATTTGCAGTTTTATGTTGTTTTTGTAATTCATTGTATATAACCACAATCTCTATAGACCAGTTATCTAGAAGACATTCTGACAAACAGCGGTAACAGTAGGATTTGAAACAGAAATATTAAAGGAAACGAAATATAAATTGGGAGCAATGATCCATAAATTAATTAAACCTCATCTGAAAAGATTACTTACCTAATAGTATCACCATAAGCTTTAATTCTAAAGGTAGCATTAATACGATAAAGTCTTGAAAAGTTGTATTCATGTTTTAGAATAAAGGACTTGGAAATTCTCAGGTCAAGGAGACATGGGGTCAATTTAGAGAATAAAAATGGCTGTAGATCACAACTTGCCAGTCAGCTCTGCTGGCTTTTTCCTTTTTGTGTGAATAGAACAGCTGATGCTATTAAAGTGTACTCTCTATTTATATAACTAAGCACACTGACCTAACTCTGCTAGAGGTAGTCAGTCATTATTTTTTACAGTGGAAAGGTAGATAGCTGTGTCAAGAATTTTATTTAGTAGCTCTATTCATCTCACTCTTTCACTTAAGCTAAAATTTGAACTGAAGTAGTTTGATGAATCATTTATACCAGTCATATTAGATTGAAATATCTTTTTTTTTTTTTTAGCCAAATAAATAGATAAGCCATTTAGCTTTCCCAGTGATTCAGGAAGCATTATCTTTGTGTTTTGGATTCATTAGCTCTTTAAGCTAAGCTAAATGTTTCATATGAATTTTTACATTCTTCCCTTGAGCATGACTAAGAAAACTTGTTCATTGTCCACTGGAGAAACTGAATCTTTAAATAACTAAATAAAATTAGGAGAATACCAGCACCTCACTATATGCACTTCATCTGCACGTGATCATGAGAAGGGTTTTATTAAGTGGTCTTTCTCACCTGAATTTGGCATTCAGCTGTACTAAGTATTGGTTCAGGATCATTGTTATTAATCTATGTAAATATTAATGTATAAACAGAGTTCCTGTCAGTGTTACCTTGTAGTTTGTAATTTCTTTTTAATAAAATGAAATAATAATGTCAGTTCTTAGAAAACAGTTCTCCAATTCAAATCATAACAATGATATGGGTTTCATCTTGCCTCTGGGATTTCATAAATTGAGATAGTATTTGTATTATAGATACATTGAGTCTATATACAACAAGTATTAGAGAAATTCAGCAGCATATTGAGATCAAAAGAAATGTCCAGTTGCTCGTTTAACCCAAAGTGCTTTGGTTTATTCCCTTAATAAATGCATTATTTAAGTTTCTGCTTAATTTTACTGGTGTAGATCTGGCCAAAAATGTCATAGCCATACCTCATTAGGACTCATTTGTGTTCTCTAGAAGACCCAGACAGCCTTTTGTAGACTAACCCTTTTAATATTGAATGGTATCAGAAACCTTTAAGACTAGAAGACACTTTGAAAGATTGCCTAGGCGCCATCATTTTTACTGGGGCAAGTGGCACATAAAATGGTCTTAAATGATTTGAAATTATTTATTATGCTGATTATCTGTTTGTGTGAGAATCTCTCCATTTATCAGTGCGTGGTCCTCAAGAAAGACCCTATATGTGAATAATAATAAAAATGCTGTCTCATTTTTACTTTAGAATCTCTGTGGCTCTCAGTAGCTTGGTAGGGAATGTGTTTATTGTCCAGTTCTGTTGAAACCCAAATTTACTTATATCTAACATCTTATAACTAACATCCAAGAACTCACAAATACTATCAGTTAAATTATCTGACCAAAACTGTATCCTATCTACAAAGCCATGTCATATCTACAAAATTGTGTGTCTTCCACACACATACTTTTCAACCTTCTCTTTCCTGTAGACAACATTGTTATCAGTGAGACACCACACTTGTTGACATATTCTTAAAGGCATGCCCCCATACATACTTCTGCATGCGAGCACATGCTCTACCCATTGCTGCTGGCTGCCTCGGATATAGTGCATCTAACACCAGCACCTAGACGTACGTTGTTTTATCATGGCACATGATTCCTTGAATAGCATGTCACGTGCCTCCCATGCCAAGGCAGTGCACATTCTGCCCCATCCCCAAGGACTAACTGGCAGGGACAGCTTCTGTGTCCTCTCCAATGTAAAGAAACGTGGAGTTGCTGGAGGAGGGCATTAAACACTGTAGTGACCTGGTCAAAGGAAGAAATGAGGTAAACCAACAACAGAGTTTTTCTTTCTGGCCTCTTTGAGTGGGAAAAGGCAGACAGGCCAGCTGTTCTCAAAGATAAAAGAAAGCAAAAGTAGTCAGAGATTAATGGTTCTTCAGTCTGGAGCACCTTAGAGAGCCAGGATTTAAAGGCCCATTTTTCTTCAGCTCTTCTTACTAGTTTCCATTGAGAAATCATGGCCCCAGTCTGTGTAATACTTTTGAATTGTGTCTAGGCTGTTTCTTCATTCAGCAAATATTTATTGAATCCCTTCTGTTTACCTAAGTTCCACGTGCTTCTCTTTGTGAACTAGTCGTGTTCAAGAGATTTGAATGTGTCAGAGTCAAAATGCTGCTTCCTACCCTTTATATGAATCTTGTTGTGCTCTAATGTAGGCCCATTTATCTTACTTAATACAATAGCTATCAGGAAAAATTAGTGAAACCCAACATAAATGCATGTTTTATCCAAAAAAAAAAAAAAACTCAGTGAAACCCAGGAAAAAAGTGAGACCCAAGATAAATATATTTTTAAAATCTAAAAGTTATTTTATTTCCTTTTTCTTAAATACCTTCAACATTTAGCTCTAACCACATTTTTCTTCCCAAGCTCATAATCATCCTAAGGGACTTGAATTGTTTTACAACTCTTCTTTCTAAAAAGCTTCCAGAGTTCATTGTTTTCTTTCTCCAAGGCAATGTGTTAACACCCTAGTGTTGACCTTTTGAGCAACTTTCTAATTTTGTTCCGTGTTTAAAACCAAATATCTCTGATGCTATGTGAGGAAACTCAGCAGCAAACTCAGTGTCATGGAGAGTTACTAATAGTTTAAAAGCAAATGGGAGTCTGGGAGTGGTGGCTCACACCTGTAATCCCAGCACTTTGGCAGGCTGAGGCAGGCGGATCCCTTGAGGTCGGGAGTCCAAGACTAGCCTGACCGACATGGTGAAACCCTGTCTCCACTAAAAATACAAAAATTAGCTGGGCACGGTGGTACGCACCTGTAATCCCAGCAACTCAGGAGGCTGAGGCATGAGAATCACTTGAACCTGGTGGGTGGAGAATTGCAGTGAGCCGGGATTGTGCCACTGCACTCCGGCCTAAGTAACAGAGTGAGACTTTGCTTTAAAAAAAAAAAAAAAAAAA